AGTATTTTCACCTCCTGTCCGGTACAAAAATTCAGAAAATACCAGACACCTAAAATGTCCGGTACTTTCTGATTTTTTCCAGACCAGGAGGCGAAAATCCCGGGTGCTTGCCAGGTTCTGCAGGGGAGCTGTCCTGCATGGTGGGCAGCCACCAGCAGCCTGTTAGGGCCAAAAAGCCTCAAAAAGCGTTCTTAAAGGGGCCATGCTATTTTAAAAAATTGTTTAGCTTAACAACTCTTGGGGTCCCTTTTTTTTCTCAGCAACTTTGGTCTCCCCCCTTTTTTTTCTCAACAATTTTTTTTCCCCAGTGTTTTTTTTTTGGGGGGGAGGGGTTTGGTATTTTTAGTTAAACCATCTGGCAACCCTATTCCTTACAACACTTTTTCCCAGTGCATCTGAGATAGGTAAAGAGCACACATCACCTTTTACATGGGAGATAATTGACAGGGAGATGGGGGAGTGACTTATCCAAGACTGTACTCTGCCTAGAGCAGAGGAGGAAAAAGAATTGAAAGGGAGAGATCTTCAAAAGGGTTTAGCATTGACCTCACTCTGCATCTACTAAAGCAATGCTAAATCTCCCAGTTCCTTCAGAAGGAGCAGAGTTAGGGCAACATGGAGCATTTAAAAAAAATCTTGCCCCAAATGCTTTATTCCCAATCCTACTCTTATTCAACCAAATCACTTTAATTTATCTGCTACCTTAGGCCTCGTGAACCTTGGAAAAGAAATGGTTGGCTAATTTTCTACAATCCCATGAGTACTAGTCAGTAATGGGTACTCCTTCTATTGAAGTTGCCACAAATATAAGCCTGGGTAGCAAAGACAGTCTGTTGGTGGTATCTCTCTTTCTCTCTCTCATTTGAAGCAAGGAGAATGTGAGATGTATACAGCGAAGAGCCACTGATACCACATAAAAAGTTTTGTGAAACATTCATTTTAGATAAAAAAAAATTAAATATTTCTTCCCATCAGGGATATTTGCATGAAAACAGGATTTTTCCTGCTTTGGATTTCTTTCTTCCTTCTGGTTGTTGCCTACCACAAATATTACACTTTTGGGCTATGTCTAGACTGGCATGATTTTGCAAAAATACTTTTAATGGAAAAGTTTTTCCATTAAAAGTATTTCCACAAAAGAGCGTCTAGATTGGCACGGATGCTTTTGCGCAAAAGCATCCATGCCCAATATAGATGCGCTTTTGCGCAAAAAAGCTCCGATGGCCATTTTAGCCATCGGGCTTTCTTGCGCAAAAAATTAAGGTGCCTGTCTACACTGGCCCTCTTGCGCAAGTATTCTCGTGCAAGACAGCTTATCCCTGAGTGGGAGCATCAAAGTATTTGCGCAAGAAGCACTGAATTCTTACATTAGAACGTCAGTGCTCTTGAGCAAATTCAAGCGGCCAGTGTAGACAGCTGGCAAGTTTTTGCACAAAAGCAACTGCTTTTGCGCAAAATCTTGCCAGTCTAGATGCACCCTTGGTGTAATATTTGCCCAGGTTAATCTAGTTTTAAATTATAACAAGTGGATAAGGATGGAAATTCTACTTTTCAGTCAGGTAATATAAAAGAAAAGTTGTTAAACCTGTAAACAAAGGTTCTATTTTAATTCAAGTGTCTGTTGTAGTAATAGTAACATGTAAAAAATAAAGGCACTACAAAAAATGTATCTGCATAATAACTAACAGGAATTGTCTCCTAATAAGTTATTCCTCTTGAAGCATCAGTGGGCCTTTAATACTTTTCAAGCTTCTTAGTTAAATTTTCCCTCAGAAAACAAGCTACATTTTTGGCTGGTTTCCAGAATTTTTTGTTGTTATTTTATAGTACAATCCCTAAATCAATTCCCATAGGACCAGCACAATCAAAACCCTTCTGTGTTGTAAAAGTAAAAGATAAATAAATCAAAGTGGCATTAAAAAGTGCTTTTCACTCCAACAATGCCTTTGAGAGTTTTGATAATATTCAAATGAAGGTGTTTTGTATTTGGGAATCATTTATTCAGGGTTCTGATACAGTGACAGTATTTTTACATGGTTGTGTGAGTCAGTCTTTTCAACAGACCAAATCAGACTGCGTTTGTCATTCTCATGTGATTCTGAGCAATGTTTGTCCCTTTATTCTTTGGAGTTGACTTCTTTATCTCAGTTTTTTGGTGAGATAAATACATTGAAGTGTTTTCTGCTGCTTAGAAGGAGCCTCCAAACATCTGATTGAATCACATCAGTTATTAAAATTCATAAACACAAGGCCAGCCATGAAGTTTCCTCCTTTTATGGAGTGTCCTTATGACACCATATTGGCATGTGTTTCTATTGGTGGTGCACATATACACCTGCTTTGGTGCACATAACAACATTTATTCCACATATGGCTAGAAAAAAAAATACCGGGAATATTACCCCTCACATTACCTTACAGTTTTTAACTCTAAGCTCTGATGGTACTAGTGGAAGGCATTGCCTTTTGATGGTGCAAGTAAAGGTTTTCAGAACTAGTCCCCATGTTACTGTTCAAAGTTTATGTTACTTTCCTGGCTTAATTGTTGCAGTGGTATTCAAGCTGCTCTCCTTGCTTCACTTGAAATGTCCTACCGGTGTCCCTGCTAGGCTGTGGAAGAACAAAAGAAGAGACTGCTCTCCTCAAAATCCATTGTAGGTGCTGTGCTGAGCCCCAGTGAATGTTCAGAACAGACTTTGGCACTGCTGCATGAAATACTCATTCATGCGATTAATACAACTCAGAGTTTGTGTACCTCACTATCTAGTGAGATGCTAGGCCTTGATTTAAGCAGCATCTCAATAAAATAAGGCATAAGCCCACTGACCCTCTATCTGCCCGCTCCCCCACACGCCTCTCGTGCACTCGAGCACTGGAGCCCTGCATTTCCTCTGCCTCTCTCCTCCCTCCTTTTGAAGCACCACAAATCTGCTGATTCGCTCTCTGCCCCTGCTCCTCCTCATCCTGCCCATGAGTGGAACAGTCAGGAACAGCTGATGAGTGGCTGTTTGGTGGGGGAGGGGAGGAGCAGGGACAGAGAGCAAATCAGGCAATTTGTGGTGCTTCGAAAGTGCTGGGAGGGAGGGGGAGGGGGAGGAAGTGTGGGGCTCCAGTGCCCCACTGCATGAGGGGGGGCAAACAGGGTTTCTATGAGCCACAAGTGGAGCCCCAGTGGGGTGTGTGCTGCTGCAGCCTACTGAGCTAAAGGAAGCCACTCATCCGACCCACTCGCTGTTCTTGGTTGCCCATGGCTGATTTAAGACGCTACATTTTGTATCATTATGTTTTGCTTGTTTGACCTGATTTCTCTGTTTAAACCTACCAACAACCTGCCATCTGTTTCTGATCTACCTCTAGGTCAGGATTTAAAAAAAAAAGAAAAAAAAAGTGGGGGATTTTAAAGTTAGGTCCTAAGGATCCCACGTCTGTGTTAAAACATCTGAGAAAGTGGCCTGGTTTTAAAAGTACTGATACTCAACAGCTTGTGTTGACAATAATGGGAGTCATTGGGTGCCCAAAACTCAAAGAACAGGTCACTTTCTTGACGCTCTAACACAAACTGAGGAGCCTAACATGCGTCTCCCCTTTTTTGTTTTTAAATTCTAGGCCTACTAACTTCATTTTCACCCTTTGAGAAGCCAAATATTGGATGCTGTCAGCATTCTGTGGAATTCTTGCCATTTGGGAGTGTGTGGTGTTGACTTGTTATATCTGTTTAAACTTTAAAACAAAGCCAAAGACTTTTAATTTGGCTGACAGCTCTTCTTATTTCACTAGCCTATTAGCCCATTATAAGACGGGATTTTCAGGTCTCTCCTCCATGTCGATCTTCTCTCCTGAGCCTCCGGTCTCTCGCTCCGTCTCTCTCTCTCTCCTCCTTTTACTGCCTCCCCTTCTCCCTCTCTCTCTCTTTCAGCTCTCCTCCACCTCCTGCCTCTCTCTCTGTCTCACCCTTTCTCTTCTCCTCCCCCTCCTGCCTCTCACTCGGGGGACCCCAGAGCCCAGACAGCTGTTTGGGCTGCGCATTCCCCGTGCTGCATGAGGAACGTAGAGCCCAAATGGCCGCTTGTTCTACTTGCTCCCCCTTGGCAGCCCAGCTGAGCGGCGCAGAAGTCAGTTGAGTGCCACGGCGGAAGGTGTAGGGGGGCAGGGCAGTGATGTTCACGGCCAGGGGGGGGGGCCTAGAGGTGCTGTCATGCCACACGTCACTGCCCCGCCCCCCTTTGCCTCCTGCCATGGCGCTTGGCTGACTTCTGCGCTGCTCAGCCAGGCCGCCATGGGGGAGCAAGTAGAGCAAGAGGCTGTTTGGGCTCCCCCGCGGCAGACCGGCTGAGCAGTGCAGAAGTCAGCCGAGCACCACGGTGGGAGGCGAAGGGAGGGGGAGTGGTGACGTACACAGCCAGGCCCCGCCCCCTGGCCATGTACGTCACCGCCCCGCCCCGCCCCGCCCCCCCTTGGCTGACTCCTGCGCTGCTCAGCTGGGCAGCCACAAGGGAGCAAGCGGCGCAAGTGGCCGTTTGGGCCCCGCACTCCCCATGGAACATGGGCTGCCCAGAGGGAACAGCCAGCCAGGGGCGGATATAGGGCAGGGCGAACGGGGCGGCCGCACCGGGCCCCGCACTTCAGAAAGCCCCATGCATGCGCCGTGCCGCCGCGGCACATGCGCGTGGCGTCACTGCGCATGTGCCGTGGCAAAGGGGGGGCCCCGCAGAATTATGCTGCCCGGGGCCCTGCAAAACGGTCATCTGCCCCTGCAGCTAGCATTTCAGGCAACAGCACCGCCCAGAGGGAACATCCAGCATTTCAGTATTACAGACTCTCAGACACTGGGCTACTATATATGTGATGCTTTAGTACAATGTGCTGTTATTTCAGAGCTTGTGAAAAATGTTTTCTTAAATGTGCAATGAATTCTGCCTGGTGGGCAGCCGGGACAGAATATTATTCTACAGGTCCTCTGATTTGTAGTAAATATCTTTTCCTCTTATTTCTCCTTTTAGTTTTGCTCGGCCAGGGAAAGGGTCATGGCTTGGGAAAGGCAGCCTGGAGACGGGACCAGACCAAACGAGTATGTCATTAGAGAATCTAGTGTTTGGAGCGGGCTATTGCAAACCGACTGCATCAGAGGTAAGGGCAAGCAGACAACAAAAGAAAGGTTACATTTTGACTTGCAATCTGCATTAGACTGGTTTCCAGCATAGCTGAGCCACCGAGGAGAGAGTTGTGAGTTGCTTTGGGTAAAAGCCAAGATGCAAATTACAGTCCCCTCTCAGAGGATGGAAGTAACTGGGGAGTAATTATACCTTGGAGCATTGTCCGAGTCACCATGCCGCTTGCGTTAATACAGCTTAGGATCGTCCCCTTGCTCAAAGCAGTGCTTCGAGTCACGGTCTCTCCCTCTCACAATCTTTACTCTGATAACAAGGCTTGTTTCTTTATTAGTGACCTCCAAAAAGCATCGGAATTGTTACTTTCTAGCCCAGTGTTTTCAATCTGTGATTGGATCCGCAGGCTATGTCTGAGGGGTCTGCGAAAGGTTGTCATTACCATAGAATTGTGGATTTCAGCGTGCGGGCTGCAGACCCAGGGAGGTTTGTAGGCAACATATAAGATTTTCGAAAGGGTTCACACCTCCATTCGAAACATTTTATGGCTTTGCACATGAAAAAGATTAAAAACCATTGAACTAGACAATGACCTACCAAATGCTCAATAACAACCTTCACTTAGTCTTAAAGTTAGTCATGGGTGTTTTTAGTAGAAGTCAAAGGGGTCGTGGGCAAGAAACAAAAATCACAGAGCCCAGTGACCCGTCTGTGACTTTTACCTGGGGCAGAGGTGATGTGCCATGTGCATACAGAGTCATCTCCCCCCCTTCCCACGATTTACTGCTTGGTTTGTATTGAGTAGAGATGTAAAATCACGGTTAATCAATTTAACCAGTTAAATGTGATGTTTAACCCGTTAATCAATTAAACAAGGGCAGGCAGGAGGGTCACTCCAGCTCAGTTGGACTGGAGAACCCCACCCTCCCACACACACACCTGTAGTGGCTGGACGAGCTCCCCCACAGTGATGGAGGCTGCTCTGGCCGAGTTAAAGTGCCCCTGCCCATGGTGCACAAAGCCAGGCTTCCCTTGGACAGGGGCTACCCCTGCAGGGCTGGAGCATCCTCCTGCCCTCATTGAGTGTGGGGCTGCTCCAACACCTGTCAATTAACGGGATCTGGTAAGCATCTCCCAATAAAGGTGATGTTTATAGGTTACCCGGTTACCATTCGCATTCCTAGCACTGGGCCTGCTGACCCCATCTGCCCTCCATCCACTATCAGCATCCATAGGTTGGCAGGAGACAGGGAAGGGGTTAAGCCCACTGTGGCCACTCCAGTTCAGCGTCTGCTCTACCCATGGGGACTGACTGCAAGCAACTGCTCTTAATCGGGGGTTGACCACTGCTGATCTTATGGATGTGGTGACTTCTGCTCCTGTAGTGGGGACTGGCCATAACGCCACCCTATCCTGCTCCAACTATGCTGCAGCTCCGGAAGCAGCTCCAGCCTCAATGTTCCTCCAGACGTAGCACCTGACCGACAGCTGCAGCTTCAACCCTGGGGGCTGACCATCAGGTGGAATCAGCAGGGGCAGAAGTCACAGAGGCCCAAAAAAGTCATGGATTCCATGTCTCAGCCTATGGATGCTCCACCATGGTCCTGCTGCTTTAGCATTGTGCTGTACTGCCGGTCACTAGCACAGGCGATCAGTCGTGCTCTTCCTTAGCTTCGGAAGCCTCTTTGGGACAACTCTTCCTGATCTAAGTGTTTATTTTGCATGAATGCTTGTAGGCCGTATACAGAAATGAGCCTAGTACATTCATGACAGCAGAATGACTCCTGTGGATTCGGCTAACTAATATAATACAGAAACAAAGTCGGAGCCCCAACCAGTCAATGGACACACTCTCAAGGATAGTTCTCTTTACTACCTGTTGATTTTGTGATCATTTGCATGCCTAGAGGTTGAAGGAAAGTGGAGTAAAGAGGCAGTAAGGGTTTCCTGTTTGTCTCTCTGTTTTTATGGTTGGATTTAAGGGTCCTGTTTCTTGGCTGATGTAAATTGGCACTGCTCTGTTAATGTCAATTTATACCAGCTAAGCAGGCTTCTGTCTCACAAGTTCTCTTAAATACCATCTCCGACTTGGAGCATACGTGCTAATGCTGCTTTTATTGTGAGAAATGCTCCACTTCCCTTGGTAGAAATTATGCCACTGATGTCAACAAGAGTAAGTCAGGACTTATCCTAAAGAATCCCACATCTCTTAGCCAACTTCATATACAGTCTATCTGCACTGAGCCTTGTCTAGAGGGTCAAGGAGATAAGCTTCATCATGGTTAGCTATCTTAATGCACTCTTAGACTTGTTTCATACTGTAGGTCAGTGGTTCTCAATCTAGACTACTGGATCTCTTTCAGGAGTCTGATTTGTCTTGTGTACATCTAAGTTTCACTTCACTTAAAAATGTCTTGCTTCCACAACCAGACATGAACTACAGAGGTGTCACAGCACTGTTTCTGAAAACTTGCTGACTTTCTCATTTTTACCATAGATGATAAAACAACTAATTTGCAATATAAATATCACACTTATGTTTTCAGCATATAGTACGCTAGCAGACTTACCAGGCACTGCCGTGGTCCTTCAAGGCAGGGCTTTGGGATGTATGTTTGGGGGGAGGTGCAGGAGGCTGGGGGACAAGGGCCTGTTCTCTCCCCACCTCAACTCCACCTATCCCCCCAATGCCAGGGGCCTGTTCTCCCCCTCCCAGTCCCATCCAGCTGCCAAGGGCCTATTCTCATTACCCCTGGACCCTTCCAGCCCCCAGGCACCTTCCCCCCCCCC